AGGAGTATTAGGTGCACATTGTAAAAAAGAAAAAATGTACACATTTTAAATTGATGTCATTGGAACAATGTACAGGGGCAGCTAGGTGGCGCAGTGGATAGAGCACTGGCCCTGGATTCAGGAGGACCTGAGTTCAAATGCAGCCTCAGACACATAACACTTACTAGCTGTGTGACCTTGGGTAAGTCACTTGACCCCATTGCCTAGCCAAAAAAAAAAAAAAAACAACCAATGTACACCAATAAATATTAATTAAGCACCTACAAAGTACCAGGCTCTGTGCTGAGTGCTGAGGATACAAAGGATGGTAATAGTGGCTCCTGCCTTTCGAGAGGAACTCTTTTCTAAAAATTTTTATTCATTTCATTTTAATTTATGGAATAAAACAAGCAATTCTAAAATGTAGCATTATATTTTTAAAAAGATGATTAACATGAAACTGCAAATCTTATTTACAACTTGCTATTCCTTGTAAACATATTATAAAGTTGTCATGTAAATTTCTTTTTTTCCCCTTTTGCTCCACCCTGAACTCTATAGATGACTACTATTAGATAGAAGTGTAAATGTGTGTGTATGTAAAATCATTCTATACATCCTTCTATTTATCAGTTCTTTCTGGTAGAGGAGTTCTTTTTTTTTGGTTTTTGGGGTTTTTTTTTTTTGTGAGGCAATCAGGATTAAGTGACTTGCCCAAGGTCACACAGCTAGTATGTGTCAAGTGTTTGGACTGAGGCCGGACAGAGGAGTTCTTAAGTGCCTGCTATATACCAGACACTGTACTGGGAACAAATAAATAAATGAAACAGTCCCTTGTGGCAAATAAAAGATGAAATGACTGAGGAAACAAAGGTTCTGTCTTTTGGGCATATCAGTTTAGTAGGCAGTGCACGGCAATTACACAACGAACTGGGAGCAGGCCCCTCCCTCAACTTAGGGCTGGACCCCACAGGGGAAGACATGCTTTTATACATTAAAAAACAATCAAACAAGGCCAGTTAATTAAAAGCAAATAATACAGTATTAGGTGATCTGATTTCTAATTGGAGGAAAGATTATGGACTTTCCATGTTAAGAGGTGTGGGGGGAAGCAATAGATTCAATTCCCTGAATTCAGAAAAAGAGGTGTTCTAATCCACCCAGGTGTCTGTATACAATCAAACGAACATATAGATAATAACTAATTGTTTAGCATAGAGCCATTTTTCAGATAATATATAGGGGTTGCTTGCGCTGTACAATTACGAGAAAACTTTTTATATCAATCTTTTGGAATCTGACTGTGTTTCTGGTCAGCATAATCTAGGTCCTTAATTAAGAGCAGGTCTCTAAACAGCAGGTAGAGGTGTTCTCATTTCCCAGCCATGCAGGGTTAGGTTCAAACAATGAAATAAAGTTTTCTCCCAATTCTTACAATTGAATAAATTCTTCTCATAAGACAGAAGTTGGACTAAACCTGTAATTGGACAGAAAGAGAACTGAGCCGCCTCCAGAAGTGAGTCCCAAAATGGAGGCAGTGTGGTTGACTCAGTTGCCTCAATTTCCTGTACCACTTGCTGTCCTAATGCCCTCAATTTCTTCACTCTTCCAGCAAGCAATTTACATTTGAACTTCACATCATTTAGAGCTATACTTGGGTAAGCACACATGTTCTTATTATTTCAGGAATTAGTGACATTCAAGGATGTAGCTGTGGAATTCACCCCAGAGGAGTGGGTACAATTGAACCCATCTCAGAAAAAGCTGTACAGGGATGTGATGCTGGAGAACTATAGGAACTTGGTGTCTTTGGGTAAGAACAGCTGCCCCTTTGGAGTCCTGATGTATACTATGACAGCTTTCAAGATTTGAACAGTTATTCTTTGGCGTACAAGACAAAAACATTCCTAATTCTTTTGTGGCCAAGAGACAGATTACTTGTGCTACCTGTTTCCAGGAAAGAAGGTCTTTGATTAGTATGCCTAGAAATGGATTTTTCGATTTGTTGTTATTCGTTTTTAAATTTTTTGGGGGGGGGGGCTAGGCAGTGGGGTTAAGTGACTTGCCCAGGGTCACACAGCTAATGTTATGTGTCTGAGGCTGGATTTGAACTCAGGTCCTCGATTTGTTGTTATTCTTGAGAATGTATTTTCTCTTCTCTGTTGCTTCAAATCCAAGATTTTCTTTTTAATCCCAATGAAGGTTTCATCATAAACAGTGTTCCCACTGTCCAAGCAGGGAGAGAGTCAAATGCACTATTTTTCCTAAGTCCTACTCAGTAATTCATTCTACCATAATATAGAATAACCTTCGTGCTCCTTTGTATTATCCTTGAGGTCTTCCTAGCATGCCTACTTTTTTTCCTAAAGAGGACTTAAACTAGTTTTGAATTCTTTTATTAAGTTTTATGGATGCTTTTAAAAAAATGTTATTTCTCCTCCTCCTGACACCCAAAAAAGAAAAAAAAAACCCTCCTCTCTTCACCCAGCCCATTGTGCCCCACATAAACCCCAACAACTCAGACAAAATTAGCTAGTATAATATTATAATATAATATAAAGATACATTCAGCAACCTTATTCCCCTACATTTTTACTAAGATTTGGAAAGAATATTTCCTCTATCTCTTCAATGAGGGAACTCTGAGATGCCTAACTAGCAAATTTTTCCTTTTCAATGAACAAGATTTCCAGTTTCCAAACCAGCTGTGATCTACCATTTGGAAAGAAAGAAAGTATCTTGGATGCCAGAGGCAGATATTCCACGAACCACCTGTTCAGGTGACTACATAAAAACCAAGCAAATGGGTCATTGCAGACTAGTGATCTGTTGGTCATTTTAAGTCAAAGCTCTTGGACAATGTTGAACATGGTGGCCTATCAAAACTTTTCAGGCCTGTTGAGAGGCTCTGAGACTTTCAAACTTCCTTTTTTATCTCAAGAAGTTACTTTTTTTTTTTTTAATGTATCTCTTTACTGAAATGTACCTCCACTCTCAAGGAAAGTTATTGCCTTAGTACAGGATAGTTATTTCTCTTGTGTTCACTGAAGCATTCTCCTGCCTAACGTACGTGAATTCATTCTCCCTTTTAAAATATGTACATTACTTGAGATATTAAGTAATGTGCACTTTTTTATTCTTAGTTCTCTTTTTATATTTGTTTTTATGATTGTGTGGCTTTGCTGCTGTTCCTTTTTAAGGTATTTAATCCTAACCTAATTCCCCTTTCTTCAGTCTATCATGTTATGTGTCATCCTGGTTTTCTTTGTGCTTTGAAATTACATTTATAAAGACACATTAATATGTTCATATGACAGGACTCGTGTAGCCGTAAGCCCATCATTGGACCTGTAGGTTTTCAGTATTTTACTATTTCACAAAAAGCTGTTGTGAAAATTTTACTGAGAGTGTTTTGTTTGATGTCAGTAACATATTGAGAATGCAGACCTAGTACTGAGACTTTTGGGTCATAGGATGTGAACAGTTTTGTAGCCTTAGGTGAAATTGCTATTAATTTTCAGAAAAATGGCTGCAGCAGCTTGATAAGTAGATATTTCAACATAATTGTCCAAATTTATCATTTTGGAGTATTTTTGCTAATCTTGAAAACTTTTTATCGATACCTCCAAATTATTTTCACTTTTACTTCTTTGATTACCAATGTTTGAGTAATATTTCAGGTAATTATTAAAAATTTCTCTTGTCAAAAACAACTGCATGTCTTAGTCTTATAGATTTCAATAAATTCCTTACGAAGTAGATATGTTGGATTTTTAGAGGAAATTTATGACCACAGTTGTCACATTCTTCTGCTCATATTTCTTCTTTATTCTGTTTACTTCACATATCTATTTCTCTTCCTCACTCTAAACTCAATTCTCTATTTTCTTTCTGTTCAGTCTTTTCCTGTTTTTACCTCAGATCGTAAGGATACATTTGCAAGTTCTCATAGTCGTCTGGTTTTTTTCTGAAAGTCTTATTCCATTCAAATGTCAGCCAATTAAAGTAGAGTGATGTTTCATTCATCCTTCCAGGTAATTTCATCCTCAGTCAGTTCATTTACATATGTTGCCTTTGAGTTGTCCTACTTTCAAATAAGAGAAATTGATTCTTAGTGAAAGACTAGTGAGACTAGCCTTCTGAAGTGAGAAGGCAAGAAAAAGCTCTAGCACCTTTGAGCAACCAAGAACTTGGGAAAGGGTGAAGAAGGCAGGGTTAATCAGCTCTTTATTCTTCCTTTCAGAGAGCAGAGAATTGACTGGAGATAAATCTCTTGGATGTAAGGGATGTGGGAAGGCCTTCAGCAGCAAGGAGCATCTTGCTGTACATCAGAGAATTCATACTGGAGAGAAACCTTATGAATGGAGGGAATGTGGGAAGGCCTTCAGCAGTCAAACACAATGTACTGGGCATCGGATAATTCATACTGGGGACATTCTTTATGACTGTAAGGAATTTGGGAAGGCTTATCTCTGCAACTCAGAATTTGTTACACATCAAAGAATTCATGCTGGGGAGAATCCTTATGAATGTAGTGAATGTGAGAAGATCTTCTGGAGTAAGACACAACTTACAATGCATCACAAAATTCATACTAGAGAGAAATCTTATGAATGTAGTGCATGTGGAAAAGCCTTCAGCAGTAAGACACAAGTTACAGTGCATCAAAGAATTCATAATGGAGATACTCTTTATGAATGTGAGGAGTGTGGGAAGGCTTTTCTCTACAACTCACAACTTACTCGACATCAAAGAATGCATACTGGAGAGAAACCGTATGAATGTAATGAATGTGGAAAGGCCTTCAGAAGAAAGGGATATCTTACTGTACATCAGAGAATTCATACTGGAGACACCCTTAATAAATGTAAGGAATGTGGGAAGGCTTTCCCCTACAACTCGGATCTCATTCGACATAAAAAAATTCATACTTAAGAGAAAACTTATGAATATAATGAATTTAAGAAGACCTTCAGAATGAGGATACAACTTATTCAACATCAAAGAATTCATTCAGATACTTGCTTTGGCAGCCCATATGCTAAAATTGAAACAATACAGAGAAGATGAGCATGGCCTCTGCGCAAGCATGACACACACATTCATGAAGCGTTCCATATTTTTCTCCATTGTCTTACCTCCCCATGGCCCCTGGCCATTTCCCACCCTTAATCTTAGCTGGGCTCTATTCTCCCTTGGCCAGGTGGTCCAGGTCCCAGGTGTTCTGTTCACCCCAGCTTCAGATCTTCCTTAGACCTCTCCTGCAGTCACCCCAGACTACTTGGCCACTCCTAGACTTCTCCCACGGTCTTTCTGTATATAAGATACATCTTGTCTCCATTAAGGTGCTCAGATTCTTAAAATCTAGCCACTTCTGAGATTCTTAGAATCTAGCCAATAGCTTACTAATGTTCAGACTCCTTAAGAGTCTGCCTGATATGACAGATGTTCTAATAAACCTTGTCTTTGGCTGAAAAAAAAAATTCATTCATGAAAGAAACTTTAAGGGTGTATTGCATGTAGGATGGCCTTTAGCTAGAGGACAGTATGTCCATCAGAGAATTCATCCTCGTGTTTCCTCATGAATGTAAGGAGTGTGGGAAATCCTTTTATTGCAATTCAGATCTTATTAGATATTAAAAATTCATGCTGGAGACAAACCTTATGTATGTAGTCAATGTGGGAGGGCCTTCAGGAAGAAGCCACATCTTATTGTGTATCAGAGGATTCATACTGGAGAAATTCTTTATGAACATGAGTAGTATGGGAGGCCTTCTGTCATGAGTCAGATCTTTCTCAACTTCAAATAATTCATAGCTTCTGAATGTAATGTACAAGAGAAGGCCTTCCACCTGAATGTTTCTTCATTCATTCATTCATTCATTCATTTATTTTTGGCAAGGCAGTTGGGGTTAAGTGACTTGCCCAGGGTCACACAGCTAGTAAGTGTCTGATCTGAAGCCAGATTTGAACTCAGGTCTTCCTGACTCCTGACACCAGATAGGGCCGGTGATCTATCCACTGGGCACCTGAATGTATCTTTTACTCAACATCAGTGCATTCATACTGGAGAGAGACCTTATGAATGCAATGAATGTGGGAAGACTTTCAGCCTGAAGACACAACTTCCTCCAAATCAAAGAATTAATTCTGGAGAAGAATCTTTTGAGTTTGGGGAGGCCTTTAGACCAAGGACCCTACTTTATGTCCATCAGAGAATTCATACTAGAGTGATTCTTCATGATTGTAAGGAGTGTGGGAAGATCCCCCAGCTGACTAGACTGTGATTCTGAGTCCGGAGATGCAGTTCAGAGATTCCTTATTTAGGCACCATGGGAGAAGAAGATATCCTTCCCCTCTGAAGGGGCAAAGACTTTGTGTTATCCTCCCATGGACCTTCAAGGAGGGAGAGGTTATGCTGGCTGAGGCAGAGGTTACTGAGTGGATAGTGGTATTGGAGATCCTTAGTATTAACTATCCCTGGGCATATGGCTTGCAAGACACCTGGGGATGACCTTGGCTATGAGATGAGCCTGAGCCTAATGTGGATAAATAATTGTTGACAGAGCTTGAGGAATATATCATCATCGGAGCTGTATTCCTAAAGTTGCTGGTGCTGCTTCTGCACCTGTTCATTGGAGTAGCCACTGTGGACTGTAAAGATTTGGAATCACCTTAATTAAAACAAAGCATCCCAAGGGCCTGTGGCATGTGTTGGTACAATGTGATTTCTGCTCAATGCTCTGAAATGTCAAAGTAAAGAAGTTTATTGAAGTGCAGGTAAATAGCAGGGTTAACTATGATCTTATGGTAGCCAAATACCACCTTATCTAGTTAGTGACACAGGTGAAAAGATGAATAAGATTCCCATTATGGTTAAGGAATATAAACAGTTTTCAGTGATGAAATCAAAGTGACCAATAATAATGAAAAAATACTCTAAATCTCAAAGAGATAAAAGGAAAAGGACCTGTGTGTACAAAAGTATTTATAGGGGGCAGCTAGGTGGCGCAGTGGATAGTGCACCAGCCTGCAAGTTAGGAGGACCTGAGTTCAACTCCAGCCTCAGACCAAACACTTGACACGTACTAGCTGTGTGACCCTGGGCAAATCACTTAACCCCAATTGCCTTAAAAAAAAAATGAAGAAAAGGGAAATTAAATTACTATTAACAAAAATGAAAAAAGGATAATTTCTGTTAAAGAAATAAAGGATTTTATTAGAAATTATTTTGCCCGACTATATATTAAGTGCATCAATCCCCGGGAAGTAAATATTTATAAAAACAGAAGATACCCAGATTAATAGAATAAGAAACAGAAAATTTAAGCAAATCGATCTAAGAAATTCAACAGGACATAAATGACTCCTAATGGGGTCAGCGTGAGGAGGTGACGATGGGAACTAGAGGACCAGATGTAATCAAAACTGAATTCTATAAAACATTTGAAAATAATTATTTCCAAAATGACAGAAGTTGTTGGCAGTTATAGCAAAAGCAAGTATCTTATGAAATTCCTTCTGTGACATAAATATGAACTTGATATGTAAGAAGAGTCAAAACCAAAAGAAAATCTTGTATTAATATCCCTAATGATCACTGATGCAAAATTTTAAAATAAACTCTTAGCCAAAATGCTAAAATAACATAGTACAAGGATTATATTTTATGAGCAGGATGGATTCATTCCATGATTGCTGTATTAGTTTAGTATTAGGAAAACTATAAACTTAACCATATTAATAACAAAAAATGAAAACAATATATTACCAATAGAAGCAGAATTTTTTAATAATCAGCTATTTCTATTAAAAACTCTAGAAACTGGGGCAGCTCGGTGGCGCAGTGGATAGAGCACTTGCCCTGAAGTCAAGAGGACCTGAGTTCAAATCCAACCTCAGACCAAACACTTGACACTTACTAGCTGTGTGACCCTGGGCAAGTCACTTAACCCCAATTGCCTAAAAAGAAAAAAACTCTAGAAACTATATGAATCAATGTACCTTTCCTTAATATGATTAATAGTATGTGTGTATATATATATCTCCTATATATAGTATATCCTGCATATATGTATGTAGTACACATGCATCCAAAAGGTATACTGTTAATCATACATACATCACACACACACACAAGCTCACGCACACATCCAAAGATGAGTCAGCATTTTATGTAGTGGGTATAAATTCCTCTCCAACAAAATTAGGGGTGAATATTCATTGTTCCCACATGTAATTTACATATTGCTAGAAATAATGGCTATAGAAATAAGACAAGAAAAAGAAACAGAATAAATAAACAAAGGTAAATAAAATGATCACTTTTGCAGCTGATAGGATGGTGTATTTAAAGACCCTTTGGAGAGACAACTAAAAGTTAATTGAAATAATGATTAATTTTAGCAATATTATCACACATATCCACACAAAGCATGAGCATTTCTTCTTAACTTTGGCAATTGGGGTTAAGTGACCTGCCCAGGGTCACACAGCTAGTTAGTGTCAAGTGTCTTTTGACCTCAGGTGGTCCTGACTCCCAAGGCTTTTCTATATCACACCAACAAAACCCAACAAGAAGAGATAGGAAAAAAAAATAACTTTTGCTAAAACTACAGAATCTATAAAATACTTGAGACCTTACCTACCAAGATACACATAAGAACTTTATAAATAAAACTCTAAACCACTGTTTAAAGAAATAAAGGCAAACCTAAATAATTGGAAAACTATTATTTGGTCATGAACAGAATGAGCCTGTTTTTTTTTCAAAATGATAACACTATTTAAGATAATTTTCTTTTTCAGTGAAACCATTCAAACTACCAAAGGGTTATTTTGTAAAATGAGAGAAAATCATAAGAAAATTTTGATGGAGAAAGAAAGGTCAAGAATCTTACAGGAAATAAAGGGGAAAAAATGGGCACAAATGAAGCTTAGCAGTGACAGATCTCAAACTATACTACAAAGCAGTATTTTTCAAAATAATTTGGTCCTGGTTTAAAAATAGATCATTCAGGGGAACATTAGGAATGCAACCCATAGAGAAAAAACTAATAGCTTAGCACTCAGTGAGCACAAAGACCCAAGTTATTGGGATAAAGATTCGATATTTGGTAAACATTGCTAGCAAAATTGTATAGCATATGGAAGAAATGAGCTTTAGACCAAAACTTCCCACCTTATATAAAGATAAGCTCCAAATGGGTGTGTGATCTGGATATGAAATATCACATCATAAACACATTAGAGAAACATGGAAAAATTACCTATAAAATACACAGGAAGAGCTCATGACCAAACCAGGGATAGAAAGAATGGCAGAAGACAAAAATGAATGTTGATTAAAATTTAAGTTTTGTAGGAACAAATTTAATACAGCTATTGTTAAAAGGGATTTTGTAGGGATATCTTTGCAGTCAGTTGCTCTAGTGAAAATTTAACTTCCAACATACATAAAGACCTGACTCAAATTTATAGGGATAAGAACCTTGTCACCAATTTGTAAATGGCCTAAGGATATGACCATCAGTTTCACCAGGGAAAAATCCACAGTATATATAGCCATGTGAAACGATGCTCCAAATTATTACTAGTTGAAGGATGCGATTTCAAGCAGTTTCAAGGCTCCATCTCATGACCATCACATAACCATGATTACAAAAAACAGCAAACATGAAAAAATTGGAGGGGTTAAAGGGAAAAGGCATGTGGATGAACTACTGGAGGAGCTATGAATGGGTCCAACCCTTCTAAAAAGAAAATTGAAAATAGCTCCCCAAAGTTACTAAATAGTACATGCCTTTTGACTCAGATATCCCTCTAGTAGGCCTGTATCCTAAGGAGATCAGAAAAGGAGGGGAAAGTACTATAGATACAAAAATTTTTATAGCATTGCTTTTTGTGACAGCAAATACAAAACCAAACAAAAACAACAAAAAGAAACAACAGCACCAAAAAAAAAACCCCTGGAAACTCCAGGATTGTACATCAATTGGGGAATGACTGAACAAATTTCAGGGTGTATATATAATGGAATACTTTTGTGCTATAAAAAATGAGGAAATAGGTGATTTTAAAAAAGACATGGAAAGATTGGTATGAACTGATGCTGACTAAAGTGA